TGTATTTCTATTGATTCCACAACGAACAAAAACACAAATAAACAGCGTTTCACCCTGTTTTTGTGCACAAAAAATTACCTCTCGTGTACTTGACATCGAGATTTTGGGACTCTCTCTAACAGGGTGTCTAACCCGGAATTTCCCGGATTTCCCGGCCTTTTTAAAAAAACCCCCCCATTATCGGGACCACACTTTTTTTTGTTAACCGGCGTAATAGGGTACCCCTGGTTGGTTCCATAATGGAACCCCCCCCACAAAACTGACTTCCAAACAAATCCTTTCGGGGCTTTTGTCGGGAAGAAGGGACTTTTTTGAAGGGTCTCCTTAAGAAACCGGTTACCTTCGGTTTAAGAAAAAGGAAGGGCACCCGGGTCTTTTTTCCTTTTCCCCCCCTCGGGTAAGAAAAGGTTCTCGAGTTAGAGGGGACCCCCGGAGATAATGGGTGCTGGTGTGCCCTCTTAAAACCTCCCTAACAATATTTTCCCTTGTGATAGGAGGAGGGAATGGCGAAGGGGGGAACTTCCCTGGGTTGTTGTTTACCTCGGTATAAGAAAACCATACGGGACCTTTAAAGTTAAATTTTTTTATTTAAACCCCCCTTAAAATCATTTCCATCAACTTTTTTTTGGGGTTCCCTGGAGAAACATTTTCCTTTTTTTTTTTTTTGGGTGTCCCGGGTACCGGACCCTTCCGGGGTTTAACCGGGGTTTAGGACCTTTCAATTATTTTCCCTATTCTTTTTTTAAAAATATCCAAGTACAAATTTAAAGGGTAACCTTTCAACCAAAGAAAGTAATTTGTGCCATAATTATTATCCCGGAGTTGGTAAACAAAAAAGTAGAAGATGGAGGGGTGTGGTTTGGGACTTGTAATTATTATTTTCCCCCCGGGAAAAAATAAGAAACGGGGGGGGGGGGGAATAAAGAGGACGGGGAAGGTTAAAAGTACAAGGGTTCGGAAGGTTATTTAAGTCAAGTTAACACCCCAACCAAAGAAACCCGGATTTTCCCCCTTCGAAGGATTGAGGGGGCCCTTTTAAAAGGTCCAAACATATAGTTCACAGACCCAACCAAGGTGAATTTCCCAAGGGAGAAGGACGGGGGGCTTAAACCAAAAGGGTCCAACAAAAATTAAGGTTTCAACCCAAATAAAACCAACAAGATTGAATTTTTCCCTCAGTAGGACGGGACTTAAAGGGTTTCACCATATTTAATGGTCAATACATTCAAACAAGGAGGATAAAATTTTCAGGAGAGACCGGGACTACAAAGTCCAACCATATTAGGTCCAAAAATTTTTACCAATTCAAAAAAAACAAGCAAGGTGAAATTTTTCTTTCGAAGGACGGAAACTTTCCCAGTCCCCCAATATAAGGTTTCAAAAAATTCCCACACAGAGCATGGGAAAGAATTTTTCTTCAAAAAAGGGAGAAAGGACCGGGGGACTTTACCCAAAAATGCTCAACATATTTAGCAATAACAAATTCAAACAATGAAATTCCTAAGAGGAGGACCGGAAACCTTACCCAGGTCCCCAAACATTTAGTCCAAATACCAAAAAATCCAACAAAGATAATTTCTTCCAGGAAGGAGGGGGACCCGGACCTTTACAAGGTTTTCCAGTATTATAGTTTTCCATCACCACGGAGGATGAAAAATTTTCTCCAAGAGACCCGACTTTTACAGTCCCCCCACAAAATAGGTCAAACAAAAACGGGAATTGAAAATTTTCTTCCCCAGAAGGAAGACCGGACTAAAGGGGGGGGGGTCCCCACAATAATTAGTTAATACTCAACCAGGATGAAGAAAATTTCTCCAGGGGAGAAAGGACGGGACCGTTTTTTTACCTAGTCCCAAACAAAATATAGAAAAAAAATACATCAAAAAAAAAAGTGAAAAATTTCTCTTCCAAAGGGAGGGACGACTTTACCAAGTTCCCCAAAACAATTTATAGTCCCACAATTTGCACAGAAGGTGACACTTTTGTCCAAGGTTAACCGGCGGAATTACCAAGGGTTTTTTCCTAGGAATAAAAGAAGGTGGGATGACCGCCGACCCCGGTGAAACGGTGCGCGGGAAAGGTGAGGTACAGGCTTTTCCTTGGGTTCAAAGAACTGGGGGGTTGTTATCTGCCAATCAACCAAAATATGGGGGGTTTGTGGTGTATATTAATTTCTTTTTTATTTTTAATTTTTTTGTGTTGTGTTGTGTGGTTTGTTTTATATCTCTTGTGTTGGTTGTGTATTTTATTAGTCTCCTATTTTTATATATGTTACAAATATCATATTCTTTTCTCGCAATCCCGGTGTTAACTCTTCCCAATAACAATGTTTTAAAAATCAAATCTTTACTAGGGACCCTCAAAATAAGTTTTTCCCTGTTGGTTCTTGCCAAACCCCTATAAAAGTGAACCTCTTTGTGCTACCCATTAATAACAATTTTTTTTATAATAATCAACTCATAAATACGGTTTGTTTAAAATAGTGAATATGTTAAAGAAACTTGTGTCCGGGAAAGATTTCAACGGGTGAAAAATAATTATAAACACCAAAAGATAAAAAATATAAACTATTAAAATAATTAAAGTAAATTTTTTTTGGTTATTCCGAAACCCTAAAATATTATGCGGGAAAACCTTTGGGGGTTCCCTGTTCTTTAAAAACTTTTTTTTATCCTCCCCCCCCCCCTCGAAACCCCCTCTTTTGTTTTCCTTTTTTGTCCATTGTGTTTTGGTCCCCTTTTTTTTCCTAATTTGTTATCCCCGAACCTTACCGTTTGGTACAACTTAACCCCTCCTCTTTTCCAATTTGCTTTTTTCCCCCCCGGGTTTCGCCTTCCCTTTTGTTTTTTTTCCTAGACTCTCGTTTTAATTTTCCTTTTTCAACGTGAGGAAGGAGGAACTTCATGTTCCGTAGGAAAAAGGTATTTCAAAATTACCAAACTTAATTCCCAAAATTTCAAACGGTATTTAATTTGGAACCGGGGGGGATGGTTTTTACATGTAGGTGGTTTTCCCGGAAGGGGAATCTGGTTTTTTTCCGGTGATTCCCCCGACCAAATTTTACAAACCTTTAAACGGGGCCCTTGGTTTTTTTGCTATCGCGGTCTTTTTTTAGTATTAGACAAACCCGTTTTTTGTACCACAAATTGACTGAGTTGTGGCAATGTCCGTTCCCCCCCCATGAAAGGAAGGGGTGTATAATAATTGGGTAGAGAAATAATGGGGGAATAAAGTAATTTCTGGTCGGGCCCCATTTTAACCCTGAGCGGTTCTGTTTTTGCCCATTTTGTTTTTCCGGGGTTTTTGTCCTTTCGGGGATTTCACCCCTGGAACAAACCAAGCCCACACTTTAAATTGGCCAAATCCAAAATGCGGCCAGGTGGGAAAAACCAAAAGGAGGTTGGTATTTTTTTTTTTGAAACTGTAAGTGGTCAATTTTTTTGTTCCCGGGTTTCTTTTTTTTAACCCGAAGAGGGTTCAAGGAATTTTGGGTTTTTGGGGATTATTGGGTCCCCCGAAATTAGGTCTTTTTAACCAAATTTTTTTAACCCGGGAATTGAATAAGGATTCAAAGTTCCCCCTTTGAGAAGGGTACAGTGAAAACACGGGTGTTTCTTCAAAATGTTTCAGTTCACCTAAAACCGGGTGGTCCTCCAAGGTCGGAGGCCGTTGAACGCCCCCTTTTCAAAAGCTGGTGTGGGTTTGCTTTTTTGACCCCTCTTTTACTAATAACTTTTAAAAAACCACGTCGGTTCTTAGGGGAGGCTTTAGTTCTTTTTTTTAACTTACCTTTATACTTAAAAAAATCTCCTCCTCACTATTGAAGTTGTCCTTCTTTTGGTTTTAACCACAGTTTAATTGGGAGGTTATCCGGAGGTTTGAGAGCCAAATAGTCCCCAAAAACGACAGACCTTCCCCCCTTTCCCGGCCAAAGTGGCCATGGTGGTGAATGACCAGTCGGTCTGTCTCGGTGGGTCGTCAACTCCCCCCCCAAGGGTTCTCCCCCTTTCCTTTCTTTCTTTCCTGTGGTCCTATGGGGACCGGAATTGTGACCCCCCCCTTAGGTTATTGTCCTCCCTATTTTTCGGGTTGACCCCCCCGCTTGGCAGAATACCCACTTTGCTTCCGTCTCCTGGGGTGTTTGTAGTGAATAAGCTTTTTTTTTTTTTTTTGTTTTAAAAAACCCGCCTCCCCCCGAAAAATGATTGGCTTTGGGGTCGGGGGGGGGGGTCCGTGAAACCCCCCGTTTTAACCTTAAAAGTAAAATGCCCCCCTTATTCCCCATAAAAGTCCTTATTGGGGTTCTTTTTTTCCCCATTTAATTAAGGAATCAATGTATAATTTTTCCCAACTTTTAGGTCTAAAATGAAACAAAAATTGGTAAAAGGAATTTTGACAACGCTAAATGGTCGTCCCTCTTTAATTTTAAACAAGGGTTCTTTTTTTTTTTGTATAATCAAACCCGTTCCCCCCCCGGTGGGTTGGGGGGGGAAAAAATCATAACTCTTTTCCCGTGGGAAAAGTGTTTGTTCGCCAACTTCCCCCCGTGCTGGGAAATTGGGAGGACAAAGCCAAAACGGGGGTTTAACCATATAAATAAAATTGGGTATGGTTTTATAATACCCCAAGGTGACAACCAAAATCTGTGGAAAATATAAAGGTTTCCGGTCTGGATGGGGTTATGGACAAGGTTTATGTCACCCCCGGGTTAAGGGGTGGTCCTCGAGGGTTTAAAAAAAACCGCTCCTCTTTTTTCTTATCCCCTTTGTTTGGTTGGGCCTGGGTTACGGGGGTGTGATCCTCTTGACTCTAAATTTTCCTCGTCTTCCCCCTTCTCATTTATCATCCTGATTTATATGGTGCAGACCTATCCTAGAGCAGGGGTTCCCAAAGGTGGGGGTCGCGAGATGATTACAAAAGAAAAATAGGAAAAAAATAATAATAAAGAAATTTTATTAATTTTTTAATATATTTTTTAATTATTAATAATAACGTTTGCATAGATATTTTCAGGGGGTGGACTAGCCATCTGTATAATTTCCCCGCAACGAGGCTCCCCCCTTTGACAATCCACTAGCGCAGTGTTTCTCAAACTTTTTCATACCAAGGACACTTAACCAATAAAAAACACTCATGGACCACCTAACTCCACAAATATCCAAAACAATAGGCCTGCTTACCCATTCCAACAGTATATAACAAATTACAGCCTAATAATGACAGCTTAACCTTCTCTATATCGCCTCGTTCACACATTAAATCAACAATACAAATACAACTACAGATTGTATAAGCATTTAGTTCAAATGCGATTTAAAATCCTCTCAGGTTTTACACCTCTTATTATGAAATGTAGACTACATTTATTATGTAGTATTATTTTAAACACAAGTTTATGTCCGAGCCAACAGACTCACAGATTGTTGGCTACTGAGAGATATGCAAAATACACCGCATGTAGTACGACACAAACCTCCGCTGTGGATTTTCAAAACAAAATACAATAAAACTATGGTCGCAGGCCCAAGTTTAACTCTCTGAGGCCTGCATGGTCTGTCTACAAAACAAAAAGGAAAAAAACGTTTATGCAGCCCCAACAACAGCCTCTGATCATCAACAGACTTCATGCAATGCTTCATCAGATGCATATATTAGATAATAATCTCTATCTCACTCCTAACACATCTAAATCTACTTTCAGCATGGATACATGTTCATAAAATACATCCATTGTTTGTTCTATATGCTTCTTGAAATCCAAAAAAACACATCGTTTTTCTAGAACAGATTACAAATCGGCTGAAAATGGTACAAACAACCCGGCGGCAGACATACGTCTCTGGGCGGGCATTTGATTTACCAGGCTGGCCCCCCCCCCCCCGAAACTTACATTTCCCGGGAAATCTGAATTGTCATTTACGGCCATCAAGAAATATGCTTCCAGCTGAGCGTAAAACCTGCACAGACTTTCACTTTTCTCCACAAAAAATTGAAGTTGAGCAACCAGTCTTACCAACATTACCGTTGTTTGTATTTGGAATGAATCGTTATTTTTTTGGATGTTTTGACAAATGCACTTAAAATACTGAAACTTTGACTTTAATTAAATGTTAGTTGGAAGCAATAATATTACGTTTAAATAAAAAATATAACTTACTTAATATTATTGCTAATTCAGTTATGTGAAATCCGTTGACATAATACATTTGATTAAATTCAATGTTTCAGTTTTTTCAGTGTATACTACTATCTGTTTAATAGACAAGAGCCTATGTAATGTTTGAAGTGCTTTTTGATTGTTTTGTCTTTACCAGCCCATGGACTGCGGATGCTTTTGATCTAATAACTAAAACTGGCATACATCTTCTCTTTTTGTAGCTTTATGCATGGTTGTTGTTTAATAAAGACAATACATAATAACAATGTATGCCATTGCTTTTTGTTTCCCGTGTAGGCACCCTTTGTAGTTCCTATTCAACCAGAAGCTATCAGCTGACTGTCATGGACTCCATATTTGTTAGAAAAAGTCAGCGTGGGAATGGCTTCGGCCTCCAGATGCTGGAGGACTTCGTGCTCGGTTCCAAAGAGGACTGTCTGGGTCTGAGGTACCCGCTCACAAAACCCATGTATAAAGGTAAATTATGCACATTATGGATATGGACGATGTGACTCACAGACAGCTGTGTTTGTGCTAGTACAAACCCTTAACTACAATGCTCTTTGTTTGTAGTGTGTGAGAAGTACCTGTGCCAGTACCCAGAAGACACACATCTGCTGTGGGAGGTAGAGAGCATCGGGGCCCCCAACCAGAGGACCAACATCTCGAGCAGGATCCAGGCCATGGATCAAATCGGTAAGAAAGACCTTAAATCAGTATTTTTCAAACAATTCTATCATCCTGAAATGGAGTGGTGAAGTAATGAATCCTAAAACCCGGGAAATACTTTTACCACTTCTGGTTCCCTCGTCTCTTAGTCAGCTGTTTCTTTGAATGTGTTTGTGGTTAGAAGCCTGTAATAAGGTCTGTGGTTAACACAAGCTTATGAGATGTTTTGTCATAAAATGCATCAGTAAATACTCCACTGGTGAATGTCTGAAGCTTCTGTTTAAAAAACAACAACTGTTGCTATAGTTGACAAAAAAACTACTGAAAATTATCACGCTGACTAAAATCTGTCTTTAACTTAGCGGTAGTGATCCGCAGCCATGCAACTGTGATGTCGTTTGTTTATAGCATTGCGTTTTTTTTCATTTCTGCCAATTGCATTTACGCTTCACATAGTGGTGAAGATTCTCCTGCTGCCACAGAGCCTATTTTCTTAAAAATCCCATGGGGAAATCCCATTGCTTTTTGTTAAGGGATCCCTTGTGATGCCTAAAAAAATAAATGGTATAGTCAAATGATTTATTTGAAATCTGCAAAGCATACACTGAAAAACTATTGGAGCTTTTTAATGATTGTCTAAGGCTTGACGCACTGCCTGTCTACCTGTGTTTCCTGCAGTATCCAAGAGTCTGACGTTCACAGAGGAATCCCTGGTGATCACTGAAAAGGATGTGGTGATGGAGGCAATAAGCACTCAAATAAAAGAAGCTGAATCTATGGAATGCACAGTTGAAATTGTGGTACATAATTATTTTTTCCTTACAAATTGAAACAAATATTTTTGAGAAACAAAATAATTAAAGTAAAAATAATCGCTGTGATTTCAATTTGTAGGAGGAAGTGACCGTACTGAGCGCTACCAAAGGTGAGAATGCTAGCATTTTACATCTATGTTAAAAAAAAGTTTCCTTAGATTGTATATTAAAGGTTCTCAGGCCTTCTGAGCATTCATATAGCAGTAGACCACTAATTGTAGACACATACTTTTATTAGTCTCTGCACAGCGCTCATATAGCCGCTACCAATGATCAGGTTCCCACTCGTGCTGTTAGCATTGCTAGCTCCATTAGCTGCTAGCCACCCGCCATGTTGAGAGCCATTTGGAGGCAATCCCTTAAAGTAACAGTAGATAGCCTTTAATGCATGTATTTTTCAATACATTAATGAAGATTGTACCAATTGTTTCAGTTTCTGAGGCGGAGGTGCCCCTTACAGCCCGGGGAAGAAGCAGTGGCTCCAAACGAAGGAAGATGGTTGAAAAAATTGCAGAGGATAAGTCCGAAAAAATAATCAGGTGTGTGAAATAAACCAGGATACTCCTGGAAAAGGCATGAATGCAAATAAGAGAATTGGGAAATTCAATTGTAAATGCTTGTAATATGATGTCTCCATTTCAAATGGCTGTAAATCTAATGAATCTCATCAGAACGTACAACTCAGAGGAAGGCAAGAAAAAAAGGTCAACAAGAAATCCTTTATTCCATCAGCTGTGACCATCCTTTTAAAACACCCACTAAGTCACTTTAAGAGGACATTTATTTTGTGTAATGTGTGTGAACAGTTTTTTGTGCTGTGTATGGTGAGCAGAGGTCACGTTAACCGAATATTTTCCGTCTGACGGATTTCTTTTAACAATGACGGAAACATTTGTGCGCGCTCCCGCGAGGTGCAGTGGGCATGCAAAACACGGCGCTAACAGTTCACAAGCGTGCTCTCTCCCCCCCCGGTCAGAGTTGTGTAAAGGCCGACGGAAATGTTACGATCCTGTCCGTCAAAATGACGGGCAGCGAAAAAGTCTAGCGCAACCTCTGGTGGTGAGTGTTATGAATCTAAAGTTCATTATCTGTCATGACAGCTTTGTGGCAAGTTATCTTGTCAGAGCCACATTTGGAGTGGTTATAACACTAAGCTTGTTTTTATGTTATGCTTGAAATGAACACGTGCCATCTAACATCTTTTAGAATTGAGGATATCGAAGCAGAAACCCCCAGAGAGGAGCACGTTGCTGAATCTCTCCAGACTGAGGTGAGTATATGCAAACTCTCATCTGCCTACATGACCAGTACAGAAACTCGTTTGGTTTAATTTACTATGTTTATTTTTTAGGATGTGATCAGTGTTGTGCCTGAAGAACAAGGACAGGATGTAGTTGATACAGAAGCAACTATATTGGACCAACCAGACGGAGGCGATGCCCCCCAGGATCTGAATACCTGCTCTCATGACTCTCAGATAGCTGTTGAGAATGTGGCATCGGGAATCGAGGAAGATACTGCAGTGCTGCCGCTCTGTGAAGACATTTCATTGGTACCCAAGGAAGCAGAAACTCTGCACAGCGTGGAACGGGCAGCAATAGTTGAACAGCAAGTGGTCAGTTCATCAACACATGCAGCAGCAGAGAACGGTGAAGCTGAAGAAACAAGAGGAGCCGTTGTAAAGGCCAAAAAAGCTGCGCAGAGTAAAACCCCCAGACGCAAATCTACCCGTCACAGCAAGCAGGAGGAGGAGGAGGAGGAGGCGAAGGAGGGACCTGCAGCCCAGGAAGGACGGATCTCTCTGAGAGGAAGAACTGTAGTGAGCACACCCAGAACCACACGGAAATACACACGACGCAGCCAGAGAGTAAGGGAGGAGGTCGATGGAGTTTCTACACCTGAAGCTGTCACTGAGGGAGAAGCACAGGAGGAAAAGACCTCCGTAAAAGAGGATGTGGTTGTGGTGGAAGAACTGGCCGAAGACAAGCTGGAAGAAAATGAAGAGGAGACAGAGAAACAGCAGGAAGAACTGGAGCTTACAGCAGAGACCGCAGCAACACAGGATCACGAGGAGGAAAAGGTTACGGATGAATGTGAGAAAAAACAAACGGGTGATGAGGCGTCACAAAATAAACCAGATGTCTCTGTTGTACAGAAGAGAGCTCTGAGAGGCAGATATAAAGTCGCTACCAAACAAAGCCAAGATCACCAGCAGGTAGAAGAAGAAGAGGAAGCAGACAAAACAGAAGGAGAGGTATCAACCGAGAAAAAGACTGTATCGGTAGAAGAAACTGTTCCAAAGGCAGAGGAAGTTGCTCCTTCTACTGAGGTGAAGGTGGAGGAGGGCAAGGAGGTGCAGGTAGAGGAAGAGACTACAGAACCAGAGGAAGAGGCAGTCTGTGACACTGCTGTGGCAGAGGACGTGACACAAGAGCCTGACACAGCTGCTGCTGCTGCTGCTGCTTCAGAGACAGTCACACCTGAGGAGGCTCCTAGAGAGACTGGAGAGCCTCAGGAGAAGGACATCAGCTCTGAAATCCCCAAGCTCCAGAAAGCCACTGTGATCTTGGTGGACATAAAAACAACGAGCCATCATCTGAGTGCGAAGGAGGCAGATGAAGCAGTGGATGGAGAGGCTGCTGCTCCAGAAGAGCAACACGAAGAGGAGGGTGGAGGGAAGCAGGAACACATTTCAGAGGGATCTGCAGAGACTGACGAGAAGCAAGAGCTTGAAGACAATTCTGAAAAAGCAGAAGAAAAACAATCTGCCATTGTGGCAGAGAAAGAAATGGTTATTGAAACAAGAGAAGAAAAGTCAGCAGAGGAAAGTGAAGGCCAGCAGCAGCAGGAGGAGGAGGAGGAGGAGGAGGACACCATGGGGGAGGATAGTGGTGAACAGAAGGTGGAGGAAGCAGAAACAGACCCTGCTGAGGAGGAGCAGCGTGAGGCGGAGGAAGCAGTCACAGCTCCAGAGGAGTCTGCAGATACAGACATCTGTGCAGAAAGAGAGGAAGACGTCCCAGCAGGAGACCACGCTAAAGAGAGTCTTCCACCAGCGGAGGAAGGTGATGAGCCAATGAGCCTGGAAGAGGAAGAAACACCAGTTGTAGTGACCAGAGCTCTGAGAAACAGAACCAAAACAAGCGCAGCTACACCAAGACACACAACAAGAAGCAGGAAGGAAGTGGATGCAGAAAACAGTGAGGAAGAGGAAGAACCGGCAGTGACCACATGGACACTGAAACGTGGGAGGGAAGCTATCTCTGACACACCCAAGTGCAAGTCTAGAAGAAGCCGTAAACACGTCCAAGAAGAAGAGGAAAGTGTGGAGGAAGCAGAAGCAACAAAGGAAGACGTTAAACACGAAGCTCCCTCTGAAGGAGAGGAACGTTTGGAGCCAAAGGAAGGTGTCGAGAAGGCAGCTGCAGAAAAGAGTACTGATGGAAATAATGAAGAAGAAGCAGCAGGGCTCCGATCAACAGAGGAGCCACCAACAGAAGAGGACAAGGAGGAAGCCTCAGAAGCTGATGCTGAGAATCCTTTGGTACAAGAAGGAGAGCCTGACCTTGCTGCTGATTCGGCTGTGCTCGCAGCTACTGAACAAGAGGCTTCAGTGGAGGAGCAACCTGGTGAGGAAACTGCCCCCCAGCTTCCTGATCTCCAAGAGACACTGCTGGATGACGCCCAGGAAGAAACATCAGCAACGCTTCAGGAGAATGCTCCTGAGCCGGAGGTGGTGAAGGTGGAAGAGGAGAAAGGGGAAGCAGTGACAGCACAAGCTACAGAAGAGGGTGAACGTTCTAATGAAGTGGACCAGGAAGCTACAGTCATCGAAAGCAGAACAAGGAGAAGTAGTAGGAAGCAAGCGGCCGAAGCCACGCCAAGAACCGGAGCAGCGAGAAGCAGACAGAAAAAGGGGGATGGAGAAAAGGAGGCAGCTTTTGAAACCCAGGAGGAGGAACCGGCTGTTCAAGTCAGGGTTCTGAGGAGAGGAAGGAAGAAGAGTATCCCTTTTGCACAGACAAGAACAAAAAGCCCCAAGAAACCTGAAGAAGAAAAAGAAGAAGAGGGGGGAGATGTTGCAGAGGAAGAGGGGAAAGGGACAGAGGTAGAGAAAGAGAAGGTGAGGGGAGAGGTAAAGGGAGAGGAAGAAAAGCGGGAAGAGGTTTCTGCAGCAGGAGATGAAGAGTCAGAGAACGCAGAACAGGCGGTTGATGAGGAGCAGGGGGGGGGAGGGGAGGAAAGGGATGAACCTGTCCCAGAGGAAGAGCAGGCAGGCGAGGACACAGAGGCTGCAGAAGAAGCTGTCCCAACACCGGAGACAGTGGAGGAGGAACAGCCAACCTCCACATCTGAAGGAGCAGTGAGTGCCCAGGAGACCATGGAGACAGCAGAGGACGACAAGGCCAAAGGTGCGAGGTCTGAGGAGGAGGAAGCAGCAGGAGACACACCTACTGTAGAACAACAAGATGACGAGGAAGAGGAAGAGGTAGCTGGAGGAGAAAGCGCAGAAGAAGAAGAACCACAAGTAGCAACAAGAGTTCTGAGAGGTGGAAGGAAGTCTGCTGCAGCGAGACGTTCCTCCAAGAGAGCCCGCACACAGCGGCAGACAGAGGAAGGAGCTCCTGAAGAGACAGAAGCAGAGGAAACGGAAGCTGTGCCGCAGGAAGCTGCAGACACAGAGGTCAGCACAGACGAGAAAATCGAGGAAGAGGATGGAGAGGAAGCTGCAGCTCAGGAAGAACTTACAGAGGTAGAGAAGGGAAAAGAAGAACCTGTGGCAGAGCAAGAGACGGTTGGAGAGGAGGAGTGTGCTTCTGTTGAAGAAACAGCTGCAGACAGGCTGAATGCTCGACAACAAGATGACGAGGAAGAGGAAGAGGTAGCTGGAGGAGAAAGCGCACAAGAAGAAGAACCAGTTATAGAAACAAGAGTTCTGAGGAAGGGAAGGAAGTCTGCTGCTGCAGCACCTAGCCGTACATCCAGAAGAGCCCAACACCAGAAAGAGGAAGAAGCTCCTGCACCTGAAGACACGCAAGCAGAGGAAGAGGAGGAAGCAGAGGAAGAAGAGGCACAGCAGGAAGAGGAGGGAGCAGCAGTGCCTGGAGAAGACAGTGAGGAGGCTGAGGAAGAGGAGACAAACACAGCTGAGGAAGAGGAGAGCACAGTCATTGAAGGATCTGCTGCAGAGGCTCTAAGTGAAGATGAATCTGGGAAGGAAGAGGAAGAAGCAGAAAGAGCTCTCAGGAGAAAAGTGGAAACACCTCCTTCATCCTCTCCAAAATCCAAAAGACAGAAAGACAAAGAAGTAGAGGACTCGCCGCGGAGATCCGTACGGAAGAGGCCAAGAGTGGACTACAGTGAGAACGATGAGGGGGGGGGGGCGG